GGAAAAATTTCTTCACCAAAAGGATTGTCAGGCATTGGAACAGGCTGCCCAGGGAAGTGGTGGTGTCACCATCCCCAGAGATATTCAAAAAACATGTAGGCAAGGCACTTCAGGACATGGTTTAGTTTGGTGGCATGGTGGTGTTGGGTTGACAGTTGGACTCGATCTTAAAGGTCCAACCTAAATGATTCTGTGATTCTATGTGCTCCCTCCAAATACCATCAGATGCTCATGAGCCTGGCCACCCCCCTCACAGCTCCCCAGCATCCACAACTGTATTACAGGCTACCTTCCCTGGACGCTTGACACCTAAGAGGTTTTGTATTTCCATTTTATACAATTCCATAGTTAGCCACAAATAAAAGGACTGGTCCAGGGAAGGCTGAATAGTGCCTCAGGGAAGCACTTCAATTTCTTCTATTTAAGGCTAACTCACAAAGAAAACAAACGAGCCTCTGAAATTAGTGTTCTGCTTTTTTACAACACTAGCAGTCCATTCAAGAAAGTTCTAAAGAATGTTCCCGAAAACACAAACAACTCATAAAAATCAATAATGTTGGGATCCTTTCACGAATACACAAAAGGAACAACAGGAAATATAAAAATAACCAGCCCGCACTGGGCACCTAACCTGTTTTGTCAGGAAAGGTGACCAGCAGCTCACATTTCCACCTCAGGCTACAAGGCTCTGGGAGAGAAAAGCCCCTGCTAAATCCTTTTTTTAAATGGCCCTAGCACCTACCCAGATCTTTTTAAAGAAGCAAATTTCTGAAAGCAGCAAACAAGCCCACAGGAAGTAACACCCGTGTACCCCAGCTCAGTGAACACGTATTTCCTAAACACCAGGGCCGGGATAAACCACACGCTAGTTACCGACGGCGCCTGGAAAACGCGACACCGACGACGGTTAAGCGCCAGCGGCCGCCCCGACGATCCCCCCTCCCGGGGCCCCGGTTCCAGCCCGTCACCGCCGGCGGCGCGGAGGGGAAACGGGCCGCCTTCCCGGCAGGGAAGCCGCCGCGAATGCGGGGCAGAAACCCCATCCGCTGCACCCGCGGGACCTTCAGCGACACGGCCGCCGGGGGCGGAAAGCCGCGATCCCCCTTTAGCGGCGGGCCCCGGGAACGGGGCCGGCGCAGGCGGAAAGGCCGCCCGAAGGCGGCGGAGGGCCCGCAGCCACCCCGCGGCACCCGCCCCCCGCCCTCGCCCAGC